GTATCCTCGGTTTCTCCGGCTTGGGGTGCACACAGCCGCTGTCCTCTGACCCGTCTCCATCACAGGGGGAGTGATGTGGTCTGGCCTTTTTAAAGCTTTTGCATCCCTGGTTCTCTAATCCCCTGCCAGGACCAGCTTACATTTTGGATCTTCTTGTGCCTAAAAGAACATCCGGCTCCCTTTGGTCCCAGGCACCTTCCAGGCCTCTCGGGAGGTGGGGGTAGGTCGCCCAGGCCACCTGCTGTGTGTGAGAGTTGGTAGTGTTTTTCAACAGAGAGAGGAAAGGCCTCATCCAGACACATCAATATTCATTTGTTTACTTATCATCTGTCTTTAGTAAGCCCCAGGAGGGTGGGATCAATGCATTATCTAGTTTCAGTGGTTGTCCAAAAACTATGTGTTAAGTAAATGAATTAAGAAATGAGCAGGGCTTCCTTGGTGGCGCAGTGGTTGGGAATCCGCCTGCCAATGCAGGGGACACGGGTTCGAGCCCTGGTCCGGGAAGATCCCCCATGCTGCGGGGCAACTAAGCCCGTGCGCCACAACTACTGAGCCTGCGCTCTAGAGCCCGCGAGCCACAGCTACTGAAGCCCACGCGCCTAGAGCCCGTGCTCCACAACAAGAGAAGCCACCGCAATGAGAAGCCCACGCACCACAACGAAGAGTAGCCCCCGCTTGCCACAACTAGAGAAAGCCCGCGCGCAGCAGCGGAGACCCAACGCAGCCATAAATAAATATATAATGTTTAAAAAAGGGTTATTTAAAAAAATAAAATAAAATAAGCTTCCCAAATTTATAATTAACACTTTGATTGTCTGTTCCTTCCAAGTTTAAAGAACACTCCCGAGCCTCTGCCCCTACCAGGATGCACGGGGTTGGTGGTGGGGGTGGGGGGGTTCCTTGCAGCAAAGCTAATGGCCGGCCAGGTGCAATCACTAGAAACACTGCAAAGTGTGAAGATAAATGTTTCCACTTAGGGGACAAATGCATCCCCATTAGCAACTGATTATGACAGTCTCAGAATCAAAGCCTCTACCATGGGTGGTTTTTATCTGGCCTCTGAGAAAACCTGCCAGTGAGATGCTTCCAGATGCCCTCCAGGAATGTTTGGGGCCGTCCTGGTGCAGTCCACGTATCCTGATTGTACAGCACGGGCACTCAGCAAGTTCAGGCACCAGTAATACTAAACGCTGTTATTTATTAAGTGCCTACTGCATTCCAGACTTTTGTGTTCCGTACGTTACATACACTTTCTAATCCTTGCGACAACCCTAGGAGTTAGGAATTGTTGCCCTGACTACACGGATGGGGAAGCTCAACTCCCCAGAAGTTAAACAAGCTGCCTAAAACCCTGCCTCCAACTCAGCGGTATAGAGCTGGGACTTGAACATGAATTTGGGGCCCTCCGTGCCCGTGCCTGGCTGCACACGCTGTACCACCCCCCTCCCTTGTCAAATGCAGGGTCCGGTCAGCCCAGGCCTTCCTTAGCACGTCAGGGACCGCCTGCCTCAGGGTTAAGGCAATGATTTGAACAGTCCTTCATCCTCCAAGTGAGGGAAAATGCTGCTGAAAACTGTCAAGTGGAAAAAATTGCACAACATGAGAGCTGTGAGTTGTTTTATTTGGGGCCAGATGAAGACTATAGCCTGGGAGACAGGCTCTCAGCTCTGAGGAACTGCTCCGAAGATGTGGGAGGAAGACGGTACACATGTGATTTTGGTGACGGGGATGCATACAGTCAAGCTCACATCTTGGCAGAAGGTTGCAGCTAGTCACAAGGAGATGTCTCCATGAATGGTTTTAGTGCTTTTCTAGATGTGAGAAGGTGCAAGAAATTGGGCTCATAAAATCTTCTCCTGAAAATCTCTATCTAAAGCTCTGTTCTGCCAGTTTGTCCCAGAGCACAGAGTGCCTCAGTCCTGATCTCCGCCCTGAACGCCTTTCACGGGGTGTTGAAGGTCAGCGACTCCAGTGGCTTAGTGACTTCATTCTTGTAGAACCAGGTGGAGAATGCCGATTTTTAGTCGGCCTAACAAACTTGCATATATATATTTACAGGGCTTCTTCCGACCTCTCATGACGTTTTCTGGGCCTTGAAAATGCTCTGGCGATTTTCTCATCCTGTGGGGACTCCTGGGGATTTGTCTGGGGGGCAGCTTGGAGGAGACTCCTGCCGCTCTTGACCGTGGAAAGGACCTACTCTCCCAGCCAAGGTCCAGCCTCCCGTGAGCCGCTGCAGTGCTGGGGGGCACTCATGGGAGGTGCAGAGGAGGGGGGGACCCCCTGTGGCCACATGAGCCAGGAAGCCCTGGAGGCCACCAGAGTGGCAGATATTGCTGTCAGGCTGGCCGCACAGCGGACATCGAACCTCCCCTCCTTCAGCCCAGGAAGGTGGCTCTGAGAGCCCAGTGGCCTCCCTCACTGGGCGGGGAGCCGGACACTTCCTTCCCTGTGCTCTGCACAGAGGGGCCTTTGGGGAAGGAGGGGCCCTTGCTGCAAACCCCTGCTGGCATCCCAGGACCAGCTCAATGCTGCTGGTACCTTTTCTCTCTCCCTGCTTCTCGTCCTTCCCTTCCCTTTCCTCTCCTGCTGTCTTGATCACCTACTGGGGATGCTCATGGAACACCCTGGAGGGAGTGGATTTGGCAGGAGCCCCAGTTTGTGGAACTAGAAATGCATTGGGTGACGGGACTCCGTGGCCATGGGCAGCTCTGTGGAGGGCATGCATCTGCTGGGACGGGAGATGCCCTGGGCTGGCGGAAAGCCAGAGCTCCGGGTCCCGACTCTACCAGTGTCTACCTGTGGGACCCGAGGCGCAGTCACCTGCCAGCCGCCATTCATGGAAAACGCTCTGGGCCCATGGACCTCAGACCGAGACCTGGCCCTTCCCCTGCACCACCCCACCCCACCCCCGGTCCGCTGGCTCCCCGCTGGCTTTGTCCAGACGGAGTGAGGGCAGGTGCCTCGCTGCCCCAGGGCATCTCCAGCAGTGCCTGAGTTTCCGCGGCCCCCATCTCCCACAGGATCACCTCCATGGCTCCAACTTCCACGGGGGCCCGGCCACTAGGACACCTTCATCCCACCCGCCCAGGGACAGTAGTGGCTTCCCTGCTGCTGCTCCTCTCAGGGACCTCATCCTCCACGTAGGTTTTTCCATCACCTGCGGAAGCAATTGCCTCGTTACGACCCCTCTCTGTAGATGCCCGGTTCCTGGTTATCCCTGACCGCCCACTTATATCATGTCAGCTCGGAACTGAGGCCTGGCCAGCCTTCCCCAGAATAACCCTCAGATGCTCCCATTTTACAGATGAGGCCACTGAAGCTCGGAGATGAGAAGCGACTTGTTCAGGGTCATCCGGCTGGTAAGGAGCTGAGCCAGAACTCAGCCCGAGCTCCTACCCACGCCTCCAGCTGCTCCTGGAGACCTTGACCTCTCTCAATTTTATTTATTTATTTTTTTTTGCGGTACGCGGGCCTCTCACTGCTGTGGCCTCTCCCGTTGCGGAGCACAGGCTCCGGACGCGCAGGCTCAGCGGCCATGGCTCACGGGCCCAGCCGCTCCGCGGCACGTGGGATCCTCCCGGACCGGGGCACGAACCCGTGCCCCCTGCATCGGCAGGCGGACTCTCAACCACTGCGCCACCAGGGAAGCCCGACCTTGACCTCTCTGAGTTTCTGTTTCCCTGACTCTGAAAAGAGCCAGCAAGATCTGCCTCGTGGCATTGTTTGCAGGGTGAGAGAGAGTGTCTGTAAAGAGCCTCTTGGCCCCAAGCCATGGGACACCCCCATCGGGTGGGCCCATCTTGCTGACCAGCCCCAGCGCCCGGGTTGCTGCCAGATGAGAGCTCCCGACACACATTCCAGCGGCCCGTGTGGGGCGGGCAGCTCCCTGCAGATGTGGCTGCGTGGGGAGAGCTCTGAGGCCTGTCTGTGAGTCTCCACTGCCCAGGGCTTGGGTACCCCTGGGAAGAGGCTCAAAAGTTAACTCTCTCCCTTTTTTGGTCAAAGCTCATAGCGGTTTCCATAGGTGTGGGTTTGAAGCTGGCCTAGGTAGTCTGGGCTTTGATTGTTTCTTGAGGAGTGTTTAAGGGCAGTTCTGAGGCCTTGTCCGGGAAAGAGGGCTCTCTGTGGGAATCAGTGAAAAAGCACTAAACTCCACAAAAACCATCTTTCTGGACCCAAAGACAGAACAGTTCTTACCTGACAACCCAGAGTTTGGGTTCAAGACAGGCAACTGAAAACAACTTTTTCTTCCCCTAAAATCATAGAATATGAGGGTTAGAAAAACCATAAAACATTATCAGGGGTAGAATAAACTTCCATTTTACAGAGGAGAAAAATCAAGGCTTAAATTTGGTTAAGTGACCTCTGTAAGGTCACGTAGCATATTGGTGGCAAACCAGGCCCAGGCCCCGAGGCTCCTCCGTGCTGGTCAGGGGGCCTATGACTGGGAGGCTGTGGCCTGGGCCTGCACGGAGCCAGAAGAGCTGCATATATCATTGGCCAAACCCCAGGAGGGCATCTGAGGATCAGGTTAGGCACACCCAGGGATTTGGATGGTCCCAAATTACTCCCATAGCCACAGGAACAGGCTCAGGATAGCTGTTCCTTTCAGCGAAGATTTTGTCCATAAATATCTCAGTTGTATTTACTAGGTTGTCTGGCACATAATAGCATGCATTTATTAATAGAGCGGCTTAACACTGTCTAGTAAGTAGGCATACTCTTTGCGATGTAAAACAAACCTCTCTTTTACGATGTACTTTATAACGCCACGTGACAGCTGCAATGCTCAGAATCTTACTGCAGGCTTCCGTCTGACCTCACGTGAAGGGACAGACGAAGGGACTGTCTCGGGGACAGCTAATCATCACCAGTCTGCTGATTCACGTATCAGTGCATCTCTGAGGGATGTGTTCTCCGAGCTCAGTCTCTGTTTTGAGGGTCCAGACAGGATAAGCATGTGGTTCTGAAACTCTTATTCTCCCCCACTGCCCAAGTCTGCCCGCTACCTCCCATGGTGAGTCACGGCGATTTCATCTGCCACCCGCGGCCATGTGAGCGCTACAACCACGGAACCGTGGTGGAGTTTTACTGTGATCCCGGCTACAGCCTCACCAGTGATTACAAGTACATAACCTGCCAGTATGGGGAGTGGTTTCCTTCCTATCAAGTCTACTGCATCAAGTCAGGTGAGCACGTCGAGGGCGTCCCTGGATGGTCCGGGTTCAGACTACTCACAGCGGCGGGTGTCTGTGTCCTGAGCCGCGTCCCTCCTCGCACACCCCCTCCCCCCCTCACATGCGGTGTTAGGGACTGGATATAGAAACTCATCTTTGTGGATACATGTGGCTGATACTTCCAAACCCTGTTCAGAGGGTCAGGAGTATTAACCCGCCCATGCCCATGTTACAATGCTGACCCTCTGAACGGGTCCCTAGACCCCTAGCATCCATGGAAGGACCTGGCCTCTGTGCACTCTGTCTTCTCCCAGCCCTTGCCCCGTTCCACTGACAAGGACACAGGCCCATGGGTGTGACCCAAGCGATGCATGACTCAGCCTTTCTCTTCCACTCCAGGATGCATATCAGAGCACAGATGATATGATTATGGGTAAAACCTGCTCTCACTTCTAAAAACGTAAGCCACGTGCAAGTGTCAGTGCTTCCTACTTAATAACAAACTACTAGCAAACCGTCCTCTCCCCGGTTCTCAGAGCACCCGGGTACTGACCACACGACAGAGACTTGGGCACCCGTGCACGTCCGCCCACCGCCTCCCGCCCACCCCGGTCCAGCCCGCTTGCCCCGGCTTTTTCCAGGTGTGGCCGTGGCCACCTGCCCCAAGCAGGGGTGACGGCTTCCCCGGATGCAGCAAAGGGAGGGGGGAAGCATTTGTTAACACGGCGCATCTGGGGGCCCACAAATGGCAACGTGAACCAGTGTGGGTGGAGTGCAGAGAAGTAGGGAAGGCGAACCCCTCAGACGAGCACACGAACCCCAGCGCCCGTCATGGCCTGGGAGCTTCACAGCTGCTTTTCCCTCTCTCACGGCAGAGCAAACATGGCCCAGCACCCATGAGACCCTCCTGACCACGTGGAAGATCGTGGCGTTCACGGCGACCAGCGTGCTGCTACTGCTGTTGCTTGTCATCCTGGCCAGGATGTTCCAGACCAAGTTCAAGGCCCACTTTCCCCCCAGGTCAGTGCAGCCCATGGCCGCCCTGGGTGAGGCTCAGTGCAGCCACCTTGGGCAGCAAGGAGAAAGGGTGGTCAGCCTTGATGAGTGCAGAGTTGAGCTTCTAAGGGGGAATAGGGGAGAAAGCAAAAACACTCGCCTGGGAGGTTTTGGGGTGTCTGGGGTCAGAACACCAAGCTGGAGACAGACTCATTTCCCTCTTTCTGCCCCCCCCCTCTACCCGTGAGCCCCTATCTCCCTCCTTCCCGGGATAAACATTGTCGAGGCAGGCATTGTAGGGGGTGCAGAGAAGGGGAGCACAGTCAGGGCTGCACACCCTGCACCTCCCACCCCCAGGGGTCGCCCCATCACCCACTATGTGCCTGCAGCTCTAGAGTTACGTACCTTGGAGCTTCCAGGCCACAGGGAGGATAAGAAATACACAGAAGTAATTAGGGACAAGGTCCAAGGTGCATGACCCAACAGAGGTTCAAAACCCGTGTGCAAAACCGTGGCAAGTCTCAGGAAGGAGAAAAGGCTCTGGATGGGGAGCCAGGACAGGGCCGGTGAGCTTCTGCCTCCAAGTAGGGTCTGAGCTTTTGGAGTGGGACCTGTGCATTGTTGGAGATGAGATCCTCAAGGGGTGTCTGGGGCAGAGGGGGGGGGGGGGGGGGCGGTCTCCATCCTCCTCGGCTGCACAGGTGAGCTTGGGTCAGTGTCTTCATCCTCCCTGTCGTCATCACCAGAGAGGAGCTTGTCAAAGTCCCTCAGAGGCGGTCTGGTCCTCTCAGTGCCCGGGGCAGCCTGTGGCCCTGCCCCTCCGACGCTGGCCCCTTGCCCGGAACCGAGCGCACCAGCGCCCTTCGGAACCAAGAGCCACCCAGCACTGCTGCTGGCAGGTCACTGTTCCTGGAAGGAGAAGTCATTTAGAAAGCACAGGGATGGGCTTCCCTGGTGGCGCAGTGGCTGGGACGCCGGTATAAACCCCGGTCTGGGAGGATCCCGCGTGCTGCGGAGTGACTAAACCCGTGCGCCCTAGAGCCCGTGCTCTGCAACGGGAGGGGCCCCCGCAATGAAGAGCCAGCGCGCCACAGCGGAGAGTAGCCCCGGCTCGCCGCAACTAGAGAAAGCCCGCACGCAGCAGTGGAGACCCGACGCAGCCAAAAATAAATAAATAAATAAATTTATTTAAGAAAGAAAGAAAGAAAGCACAGGGATACGTTTGTGAACGTGAGAAGGAAGTCAGGGCACCGAACATCATAGGATGCTAGCAGCCAGGGCTCCCAAGGGAATCAAGTATCTCCTTGGATTCCTGTGCCCATGTCAGAGTCTTCTCATTTGGGGACCTCATGCTTCAGAAAAGGGCATTTGTTTCTGACACAGGGACAAACTGGCCCCCAGGGTCGTGTGTACCACGCCCCGGGCAAAGAGCGTGTTGCTTAGTGGAGGAGGCGGCTCCCCGGGACTCACCGCTTCCCACTCCGCCCTCCAGGAAACTCACTCGTGCCTCTCACACTTCCAGCCAGGCACGGGGGTGGGAAGCAGGCGGGGCTGCTGGAGAAAGCACCACCCACCTTTTCCCCTCAACCTCCCGCCCCCAGGACGGCCTCATCCCACGTAGCAATGCCCCCACCTGGCGGCAGGAGCCCCCCAACCTGCAAGCACCCCACTCTCCCAGCCGTGAAAGCGTGCTAGGTCGGGGGTGGGTGTGCGCCTGCATCCACGCCAGGCCCAGAGTGTGTGGACACCATCCTGGGGCCACAGCCAGGCTCCAGCTGAGATGACAGAATCTACTTTCCTCTCCAACCTGCCATCCGCTCTCTCTTCCCCGTTATTATTTATGGGTCAAGGGACCATGTCCTATCATTGAGCAATTAGACTATCTAAAGAAGGCCTAAGGGTTATAAGGAGAAAGCTGAACCACATGTTGTGATTTATAGTACACTGGAGTACTTGAACATGGCCTGTAGAGCTATTTTTCTACATAGGCTTGGGAACAAAGTTTCCAGGTTAGAGACTAAATATTAAGATGTTTTAAAAATTGTCCCTAGGGAATTCCCTGGCAGTCCAGTGGTTAGGACTTGGAGCTCCCACTGCCAGGGACCCAGGTTCGACCCCTGGTTGGGGAACTAAGATCCTGCAAGTGTGTCAGCGTAAGGGAACCCCTGCTCTGGGCAGCACAGGTGGAGCTTAGGTTCAGGTGGCTGCTGGGTCGGGGGGCGGCTGTGAGCCCACAGACCCGGAACAGGTAGTGAGATGGTGTTCAGAGTTCCTTTTTTGTCTGTTGTTGTTGTTTTTCTGTCTTGACTAAAAGTGAGTGATTTTTGTACCGTCGCAGAAAGCGAACACGAAGCATACGAAGCACAGGGGTAACTGAAAGGGGCACTTAGGGGCCACGGTTTCCCAAGCTTTTAACGGTACTGTTCCGTTTCCAACAGGCTTCCTCAGGGACACTGCAGGGGCACATTGGGGTGCTCGGTTGGAATGGGCCACAGAGTCCCCTGTTCTCAGGTTTATGTCCATAAGGCCAAGGCCAGAGGTCCAATGGGGGGAAGAAGGAAGTATGAGGAGATACTGGAGCCCAGAGGCGGCAAGAGGCCAGGAGGGAAGCAGGAGAAGAAAACCTCTCCTGTCCAGAGTGTGGCCCTGGGGGACGCACCGTCTGCTGGAGGGGACCGGGCAGGGAGGCTGGATCTCCTGCACCACCTCCTCCCAGGGCTCCGCAGCCCCCAGAACCCCAGCTGCAGTGGGGGGCACTGTGGCCTCGTTCCCGGGGTGACCTGTCACCTGACAGATTAGCACCACTTTCCTCTCCACAGGGGGCCTCCCAGGAGTTCCAGCAGCGACCCCGACTTCGTGGTGGTAGACGGCGTGCCCGTCATGCTCCCGTCCTATGACGAGGCTGTGAGTGGCGGCTTGAGTGCCTTAGGCCCAGGGTACCTGTCCTCCGTGGGCCATGGCTGCCCCTTACCCGTGGACGACCAGAGCCCCCCAGCATACCCCGGCTCAGGGGACACGGACATGGGCCCGGGGGAGTCAGGAACCCGTGGCAGCGTCTCAGGCTCTTCGGAGCTGCTCCAGAGTTTGTATTCACCTCCCACGTGCCACAGCATACCCCGGCTCAGGGGACACGGACATGGGCCCGGGGGAGTCAGGAACCCGTGGCAGCGTCTCAGGCTCTTCGGAGCTGCTCCAGAGTTTGTATTCACCTCCCACGGGCCAAGGGGGCCCCCGCCCCGCTTCCGACAACCCTGACACAGCTCCCAGCACGGCGGGGGAGGTGGCATCCACCAGCCCAGGCATTGACATTGCAGATGGTAAGCATTTGCCCCGAGGCCCGGGCCACCCTTGCACAGCCCCACGCTGCTCCCAGCTCAGGGCCAAATCAGTGCTACCGTCTCACTCAGCTTAAACTGCATCTTGATCTCTCTGCATGTAGAGGCCGCGGGCAAGGCCAATTATTGGAAGAAATGATCATCATCTCACAAGTGATGAGCCCATTAACTGAAATTTCCGGAGGCATAAAAGAGCACCAAGCCATCCAAAGTAGAAGGGCCACAGTGGGCGGAACTTGGTTTTCATAGCATCCGTATGATCCAGGATGCTTTTCTTCTTTCTCCCTTAATTAGGCAGGACTTCTGAAAGTGGTGCTTGGGATCAAGGTGACACACACGTGCTAAAAGGGAAGACCCAGATGCGGGCACGAGGGCCCAGCCCTGGAGAAGCTCTGGGTACATACAGGTTATGTTTATCCGGGGTGAAGTAAAAGATGTGTATGTGCCTATTGCAAGGAGAGGCAGATTGCAGCTCGTGGCAAAATAGTAAAACTGCATCAGACTAAGTAGGGCTGTGTTTCCCGGGGCAAGGGGACACCAGCACCACTTTATAAATGAGAGCACTCATTCCAGCTTATATTGGCAGTAAGTAGCAGTAACCACATGGAAACAGGGGTCTCCTGGTTCCTCGTAGAGCTCCTTTTCTCCAGTACCACCCTGCCTCTCTGTACTTGAACTTGTAACCTTTCGGTTGGTATGACCATTAGGGTGCATGGTTGAAGCCTAACAGTTTATTTTTTATGAGCTGAGTATGAGAGTTTCCAGCAAATAATGTTGTACAGAGGAGTTGGTTTATTTGCTTGTTAACTGATACGTGGAACTTAGCATTTTCTTCTTCTCACTGATTTGTAGGAACTGTCGACATTTTACTAAAGCTCACGATTCCAGATCTTTGCGGTGTTTTCCGGTGTATTAGTATAATAACCATCTCTTCTTTTACAGAGATCCCTCTAATGGAGGAAGATCCATAACTGGAAAAAGTCCCGATGATTCTGCTGCCCCTTTGGGGATGGGCACCTTGTGCTTTGGAGTGAGGCCTCTGGAGGACAGAGCTTGGGGGGGATGGAGGAAGTTTTCCAATTTACCAACATGGGGACAGTGACACGTCGTACATCTCGGACTCAAGAGTGAGGCTGACACAAAGGGCAGTGGCAGTGCTTTTAAGTGAAACTTGAGGATTTGCCAAGACCAGTGAGGAACAAAAAGGATGGGGGGAGACCCTGTGTGGTCCTGGATGAAGGTGTTAAGTGCATCTTGTGCTGCGGAACGTGGGACAGACGGTTCCACGCATATCCCACCAAATCCCACATCCCGCTGACTTATGAGTACTACCCGCCTCCTCTGAAAGCATGCCACATTATGTAAATCGCTTCTAAAATCTGCTTCAAACTGTCTCTGGACGCCGAATTAGGATGGATCAGCCTCTGCAGGAAGTCTGTGTTGAGCTGCTGGAAGAGCTGCAGAGCACCCCCTGCAGGCTCGCCAAGGAAGATTCTGGGGTGTCCTTTGGACAGTCTTCCTTCGGCTGGACAGCTCTGCTCAAGGCAAGACTAAAGCGGGATGTGGCGGTTCCACTGAGAAAGGAAAAGAAAGACTCAGACAGACTCGGCTTTCTGGAAATTTCTTCAAACAGTAGAGCTCCTGTCCTCCGTGCTGTCCTTTGGTGAAATATCATCAGTATTTGTATTCATGGTCGAGCACATGGATCCATGGCATTGGCTAAATCTTGTGACTTTACACGTGGTCAGAGTGTGTTCAAATAGCATCTCATGGTGGAGAAGTAACCAAGGTAGTTTTGTTTCAAAAGAATGAATTACTCTCAGTCTTTTTTTTTTTTGTGGTACGCGGGCCTCTCACTGTTGCGGCCTCTCCCATTACGGAGCACAGGCTCCGGACACGCAGGCTCAGCGGCCATGGCTCACGGGCCCAGCCGCTCCGCGGCACGTGGGATCATCCCGGACCGGGGCACGAACCCGCGTTCCCTGCATCGGCAGGCGGACTCTCAACCACTGCGCCACCAGGGAAGCCCTGTTTCGGCATTTTTAAAAGATCCCACTTGACAATTTATGTGAGTCGTGAGCCCATCTCCAGTTAACTATTAGGGTTGTTGCCCCCACTGCCAAACTCAGACACATTTAATTTTCCAAAGCAGAAATTGTATCTGAAAACATATTCCTCCCCCTCCAAATAAAATATGAGGTTGGATTTTTTTCCCCCCCTTTTATTTTGTCCTGCGAAGTCCGCAGCCTCCGAAGACAGACAACTCTTTGCTCCTGCTTCCCAGGCCTCCGGCTCTCTCACCCACCTGTCCGCCCATCACTCGCACCGCGCCCTCCCGGGGCCCACTGGGTGTCGTTCCTAAGAAAATGATTGGTAAAAACATTTCCCGAGTGTTGAAGTGTCTCTTCGAATACATGTTGATCTGTGGAGCTGATTCCATCTCTCCTCTGGTTTTAGACAAATACAATCAAAACTCTGATCCATAAAACCGCTATGCTGATAGAGCGGTGAGAGCTGGAAGCTTGATCAAATCCTGTTTTTTCTCGACACAGACTGATTAAAGATTAAAAAGAAAATGACAGTTTGAAGCGTGGCTTCAATAGTGGAGTGGGTTTGGGTGGGCAGGGAGGGGCAGTGGCAGTGATCCCAGGGGATGGAGACAGCGGAGGACCAGAACCAGAGGCTGAAGGAGGGAGGGAACAGGAAAGGGCATGCCCGGCCCGATGCCCTGGGCAGCGGGGCCACCAGCAGCAACAGCTGAGCGAGTGGGTAAAGGTGTTTGGTAATTGTACCATTGTTTAGTGCTGGAAGCTGGTTTTCACGGACGCTTAAACTCCATCTGGCCAGCTGAAAGACAGACGGCATAGGTGGCTGGGTGGGACCGGGATCCAGAGTTCACTCTGGGCAGCCCACACCCTCCTGCCCCCTGCCGCCAGCAGCCTTCCCGGGGTCCCTGTCGGGCAGGTCTCGGCTCTTCTCCACGCCACACCTGTCCTCCCCTCTT